TTGTTTCCATTGGTGTTGATAATGGAACCAAGTAATATGAAGTCTTTGACAACTTCAATCTTCCCTCCATTGACCGTGATGCTGCTTATTGGTCCAGTTGTAAAACCAATGTAGCCACTGCAAATGAAATTGGGATTTATTTTAAGGATGCCAGATGCTTCGTCACACCCATTAGCAGAAGTCCCAGCTGGCCTCACGAGGGTCTGCACTGGACGCTAGAAGGCTGCTGGGACCCACACACACTCTTTTCCATCTCTTGCCATCACGTCCCTCTCTACGTGGCAGCTGTCTCTTTCTCAGCACCCAGCACCCGCACTCTTCCTATCACTCAAACCATGAAGCAGGTGGAAAAAGGCAGCCCTGCCTCCAAGTTCACCTGGTCCAGTTCCAGCCAAGCTATATGTCTCTGACTTTCTTAGGTTTACCCAGCATGGTCCAATCCGAGGCAGCCAGAGAGCAGGGCCATGTGTATAAATTTAGCTGCCCAATTTAGCTGGGAGGTATTGGGGAAAAAGTTACTAAAAACAAAGTCTACTCCCAACCCAGAAAACCCCTCCACAAAAACAGAAGAGAAAGAAGAGTATGTTATTGAATAAACATTAAACCAGAATGTGATATGTCACTGGCAGTCTGTGAAGAAGATCGCAAAGACAGACAGACAGAAAGCTGACCTTTGTGTAGCTCCCTGTGTGCAGCCTGCTACATACATGCTCCTGGATGAAATGCTCATTTTTCAATATCTTTATGGCAGTATACAGGAAGGTACTCTAATCTCCTTCTAGGAAACTGAGAAATAGGGGTGTGGCTTCCTTGATGAGCATATTGGAAAAGGTCCTTGAAGAAATATACTTGATGTACCTACTTTTTAAAGAGACAGACAAAGAATTTGCAGTGACAAGTTATCTAAATTGAATTCTGAAAAAAAAACAGGGAGGAGGGGAGTCTCTTCCTTATTTTCAACCAGGAGAATGACAGCCTTTGATTTTCAGTTTGTAACTGTCCCTACAGAAGGGGTAGGGGAGGGCCCCTGGGTGGTACAAGCAGTTTGTAATCAGCTGCTAACCTACAGGCTGTCAGTTCTAACCCACCCAGGGGTGTCATGGAAAAAAGGCCTGGCAATCTGCCTCTGTAAAGATTACAGGCAAAAAGCCAAACTCCCTGGA